CTACGATATCTATGCCTATTCTATCAAAAGGCATTCCAACTTTGATCGGGTGTAGAGGTTCTACACGCCAATTTTTCCCCCTTCTTTGGCACTCGTCGCAAGTTCGTACATATCTACGAACGTCTTCGTACATCTGCGGCCAGTAATAGCGAACCTTTACTCGCCTATAGGTTTCATCCAATGAAAAGTGTCTGGCCAGCGGATCCGAATGGATAAAATGTAAAATTTCTCCAATTTCATTTTCTTTCACAACCTTAATAGGTCTATTTGGGTTGTTTTTATTCCTTTTGTATAACTGATCATTCAATACAATAAAGTATCAGGCTTTTCGTCTTATTGCATCTTGTTGTTTTTTCGTCATGTCTGTTGGTAATGATAAATCCGTCAAAAATCGTATTAGTGAATAATATGTGGTGGTATCCATTCCGTTAAGTCAATAATGGAAAATCCGTAAAGTGGCGTCAAAAAAGGCGTAATCCGGTGTATAAAAAAAAAAATTAAAATATGGGTTGTATTAAACTCTTATTCGGCTTAGTGTATCGACGTTGGTGTGTTGTTTTCCGGGGTGATTAATTATTTCCAAATCATATCCGTTAAGAGTCATCAACCATCTTCCGAGCTTACCAACAGGATTAGACATGTTCATTAAGTATCTTAAAGCAGCGTAATCAGTTACAACGGTAAATCGTTGTCCATGCAAGTAATGATGGAAGTGCTTGACGGCCCAAATAACCGCAAGACACTCCAATTCCGTAACACTATAGTTCCGTTCATGCTTATTTAGAGTCTGGCTCGCATAAGCAATAACGCGTTCTTTTTTATCGTCATCTTTTTGGGATAATATTGCGCCCAACGCAAAAGTAGAGGCGTCGGTATATAATAAGAACGGTTTTTCGAAGTTAGAATACGCCAATATAGGTGGCGTTGTTAAACAAGTCTTCAATTTTTCAAACGCGGCTTGTTGATCTTTATCCCAAATATACAGGATGTTTTTCTTTAATAACCTATTCAACGGTTCAACGATAGACGAGAAGTTCTTCACAAACTTTTGGCAATATGAGGCCAGCACAATGAATCCCCTTAATTGCGTTAAGTCTTTCGGAATAGGAAATTCGTTGATGGTGCGTAATTTTTCAGGATCGGTATGAATGCCTTTTCGGCTCACCACATGTCCTAGGAAAGGAAGTTCTTCTTTAAAAAAGAAACACTTCTCAGGACTTAATTTTAAACCGGCCTTCTCTAGACATGAGAAAACCTGTTCCAGATGCACCAAATGCTCTTCGAAGGTTTTTGATCCTACATTAATGTCGTCGATGTATACTACAGTGAACTGCCACAGGATGTCTTGTAACACCATATCCATTAGACGTTAAAAGGTTGCGGGAGCGTTACAGAGGCCAAAAGGCATCACGGTAAACTCATACGTCCCGAACCTGGTGATGAACGTTGATTTTTCTCGGTCTTTTGGGTCCAGTTCGACCTGCCAAAAGCCACTGGCAAGGTCTAAGGATGAGAACCATCGAGACCCTGATAAAGTTTCCAACATATCGTCTATTCGTGGTAAAGGATAGCAATCCTTTTTGGTGATCTTGTTGAGCTTCCGATAGTCCACACAAAGGCGCTTCTTCCCGTTCTTCTTTTCTACTACAACCACGGGAGAAGTCTATTGACTACTTGATGGCACAATTAAACCGGCCTCCAAGAGTCGTTGTATTTCCTCTTTGATGAACAACTGATTCTGATGTGACGTCCGGTAAAACCTTTGCTTAATAGGGGTCGCACTTCCGGTATCGATATTGTGTGTGACCACCGATGTCCGACCAAAATCATTTGAATTCCACGCAAACAGATTATTATATTTTTTTATAAATTCATCAAACTTCTGTTGCTGGTCTTCATCCAGATTTCCGGTATGGAACTTTCCGATCTCAGTTTCCTTATACTGGTAATAATAATCATTTTTGATTAGAGCCGTTCCTCTTAATCCATCTTCGATTTCCTGAGCTTCCTTTTGGGTGATGAACTGCGTATGACAGTATAGCTGCTCTTGAGTGGTTTCATCTTCACTCTCGTATTCTTCATCAGAATCTTCTATAGCTTCATCATCCAGTTCTTCGTCTGGTTCCTTATCGGGTTCTATATCCGGTACTTCAATACTGATGATGTGATGTGGCGTCTCCCGACATTCGGTTGATACTTTAATTACATCACCTTTCCATTTAATTGTCATAGTATCATTATCATAATCCAAGATGGCCTTAGTTTTTCGCAACCAGTCATTACCGACTATTGCTGCGTAAGAATCAGCATCAGTCACAATAGCGTCCATAGGGATGATCTGATCGTGTATTTTTAAAGGAATATCTGATACGGCTCCTAGTGGTCTTCGCCGTTCACCATTTACGTTTACCATCACCGTTTTTGATGCTCTAGTTATCTCCATATCTAGATCTTTTAACAAAGACAGGGAGATAATATTACCGGCGGATCCAGAATCCAAGATCAACAGAAATTGTATATGTTTGATCGAGGCATCACAATACAAGGCGGAGGACTTGCTATCACTTGATGTATTCGCCTGCATCAAATCTTGCAGTTCGGCTATACCTCCATTTTCTGGTGTCTCGTTATTAACAGTGTTCTTGGTTTGAATTTTCTCAGAATCCTCATCTTTTTTTCGTATAACCAGTTTTCTTAGCTGCTTAGCTACCGTTAAACCGAACTTGGGATTCATCGCCAAAAGTTGTCCATTCGTGATGTTGGCTACCTGATCAAAGAACTATTGAGGAGTATAAGGCTCAACCATCTTATTGATAGGAGCGGTAGTGGTGGGCTTTTTCTTGGTATTCTTTTGTAATACCGTTTTTCTGGGCTCTGCAGTTTTTACGGGTTGTTTCTTCTTCGGATAAAATTGTGTAGCCCGTATCTGAGCTTCGTCCTCTTCGACCGTTTTATCCTTTGCTATTCCTTCCAGAGGATTTAACCTGGTCTTGCTCCTCGTAGTTCTAGTGGTGGGATAAGTTTCTAATAATGTAAGATTCGAGGGAATTGTATGTTGGCTTGTACTCTCACCCTCATGAGTACGCCTTTTAGTTTAAAGACTGATCCTTATCAGTTTATTGTGGGACTAATTGGGCTAGTAATTGTTGAATTTGGGCGAGTTGATTATTATTGGAATTGCCCACACTAGTTGGTTGAGGATTAGATCTTCCTTCACCATTGTTTGCGACTGAGGTCGTATTGTTATTATTTCGGTCAGGGCAATTCCTTACTATGTGCCCAGGCTGTCCACAAGAGTAACAAACAATCCTTCTATTTAATGATTGTTGCGGCTGCGGCATCACTTGCTGCGGATTTCGATAATTGTTTCCCCTGTATCCCTTACTTCTGGTACTCAACTGTTGTACCTGTCTAGTCAAATCTTGAATGGCTTTGTATAGGTCTTCCATTTGAGTATTAGTGCCTGCAGGAGCGAATTTATTAAGATAGGCGTTTACCGCATGTTGGTCTTGATGGGTTAACTCATAGGCCTTCGCTCTGTCTACTGTGGCGTTCCAGGTTTGATCGTTATGTAGTTTTACGGTGACGTACAAGTCAGGCAACAACCCGTTTACAAATTTACGAGCTTTAATAGCTTCTGGATATGCAAAGGCGTTAGTCTCTACCCTTCTATACAATTCCTGGAGAGCAGCGGCGTATGTATTTACGTCTTCGCCGGGCTGTTGTCTCCTTAATTCCAATTCTGTGGTCCAGATTTCGATCAAGGTTTGCGTTCTGAAGGCAGCCGGGAAATTAAATATAAAATCCGTATTATTATTGTTGCCAGTCCACGCAACAATCTTATTCAGATTATTATTTGGTAATGCTTGATTGGCATTCCACCAAGTAGAGGCAGCTCCTTTTGGGTATGCTGGTACGACTTCTAATTTTCGTACATTTGCAATACCATTTGCATTACAGGATCTGGTGAAATCCTCTAACCACGTGACTGGGTCCTGGTTGCCACCATAGAAATATGGCAACTCGGCCACCTTTTCTTCTCGTCTAGGTGGGTTGGCAATGGCCTGTGTGTTTCCGGCCAAAGCATTGTTGGTGTTAGGTAATGCTTGGGTCAATGCAGCAATTGCTGCGCGTAATTGCTGAAAGTCCTGTTGGTTAGGTTGTGCCATGTTAATCACCGGTAGGGCTACTGGAGCTGGGTTATTTGGTGTATCGTATATAGGTGGTAATGGAATGTGAAATCGGGGAATATCTTCCTCGGAATTTTCAGTTTCGGTGTCACTTAAAACTTCAGGTTCTGGTGAGGTGGTAGTCTCACTGACTTGATAAAGGACTTTGTTAGGGTCCTGTTGAAATCCGTTAGTTAAGTTATAGGCGTTGATAAGGTCTTGACGCAGAAGCGTATAATCTATTGGTTCTATGTCAGTATATCGGATACTGAACAATAGGTTATGTATGGCGTTGTCAATATCCGCATTAGTAATTGAATAAGCAACCTCTTCAAAGTATTGTTGAGTGTATCGGGTGTATTCTATAACTGGGTAGTTAGAAGAAATCCAATCCAAAAAGTGTTGAAAGGTGGGGTTAAGGGAATTTCAGATGGATAACAGTTATTACACGATGAATCACGATGATAAGCGGCTATATTATTTAGTCCTAATTGTCTATGTATAGCGTCGTGTATGTTATTGCGTTGAAAATGGTTTTGGAACATAAAAGGGGACTAAAATGGGAAATCGGGATTCTGGCAGAAGGCACCAATTTGTTGTATCAGTTCTTTACGCTTAAAATTGTTAAGCAATTTATATGGTTAGGTAGCAGAAGGTTTATTAGTGTATAATTAAACAATGTATCAAAAATTATCCGATCAGACGTGTTGTATAGCGCTGTACGTAGGCATATACTTCCAAACACGAATAAAGAATTTTACACAATGAAAAATTATTCAAAATATAACAAAGACAATTTTTATAACATAAAATAAAACTTTATTTATTCCCTAACATTACAACAAGAAAATTGTCCTATATTTATAATAAATTATACATATATTAAGAAATCTAACATATTCAATATATTCACTATGTATAATATGACTAACATGTTCAATATGTTGATCAGATCCAACATGTTAGTTAGGTTCGTCATGTTAATCATGTTCGGCATATTAATTATGTTCGACATGTTAATCATGTTAAACATTTGCAACATCGATCAATTCCGGAGTGGCACATGATGATCACATGACACTATCCTTCAGAGTCATGTGACTTTGAAATCAGCCAATTGCGTAAATGATCAACTAATTAATCAGATCTATCTGTGCGACAATCTATTTCTCATACAGTATATCATCCAACAATTTCTTTTATCAAGAAGTAATTGTATTTATCATCTATAAGGCAATCGGAACTCCCGATTTTACAGAAGATGAAAGAACTGCCCTATGCGTTTTCTTCGTTAATAATCCAGTTAAAAAAAAGGAAGCAGAGCTTTTCCTTTCTACCTGTAATGATGAAGATGAGGTGTTTACTTGTTTGAAAAATGTCTTACAGCTTGGTATGTTCTGTCACAGATTTTATTAAGCATAAAATAATGATGCTTTCTGTCATATTTGCCAATAATACCAAATACTTAATTAATCTTGTGCTTTTCTTTCCTGCTTCTTATCATCAAGCAAACCCATCCAAAAAACACATTCGCATTGTCATAGGACCTGTTGCTGGTAAATGAGTCATAATAATTTTGGTCAACGCGAGTGAACAGTGCTTGACTTAGATTTTGATTGGATAAAAAATATGTTAGAATTATCATAAAAGATAATCAACCATAAGCATTTGAGATGATGAAGGGTTTCAGGAATTTGTAGAAGAATTAAACCCTTTTTATGAATTACCAAGTGACAAAAAAGTGAAGGAACTATCAGTAAAAGGCTATAATTATTGCAAGCAAGTGTTCCCTAACCTTAGACCTCTGGACATCAAGAAGTCAAGATGGTTATCTGGGTGTAACTTGTTCATTTGTAAATATCCAATTTGAACTCCATGAAACTATTTTGTCAATTAAATATCTAAAATATTCACATACTAGCAATATTATTGTTGATTGCCTCACTCAAATAATCCAGGAATGGAATCTAAATGAAAATGTTTTCACCATTACTACCGATAATGGAAGTAATGTTGTGAAAGCTGGAAAATATTTAAAGATTATAATAATATTACATGTATTCCTTGCACAGCCCATACACTACAACTTGTTGTTGAAAAAGGCCTTCTTCTGGCTGAAAGATTAGTTGCAAGAGAAAAATGTCTAATTAGTTTTTTTACTACACCAAAACAAACTGAAAGATTAATTGAAGCTCAAAAAAATATGAGAAATATCCAACAAGAGGTAAAGTTTAGATTATTGCCATTTTCAAAATTACTGACAAATTCCGATTTGCGAGGTTTGATATATGATTTTTCGTATAACAAAAGTGAATCACATTTTTACGCGAATTTTTAATATTTTCATGTCAAATTTTTTTTTGTGAATCATCAAATTTAAGATAAAATGTGTATCAACGCAAAATTTTAGCATATATTTAATATAAAAATTTTGGACTTTTATTATGCAGATATCATTTATTATAGTCATTTATATATAAAAATAAAGTGAATCACATTTCTGCATGAATTTTTAATATTTTTGTGCCAAATTATTTTTGTGAATCATCAAATTCAAGTCAAAATGTGTATCAATGCAAAATTTCAGTATATATTTCTTATAAAAATTTTGGACTTTTATTATGCAGATATCATTTATTACAGTTATTTATATATAAAAATAAAGTGAATCACATTTCTACATGAATATTTAATATTTTCATGTCAAATTTTTTTTGTGAATCATTAAATTCGAGACAAAATGAGTATCAGTGCAAAATTTCAGCATATATTTCATATAAAAATTTTGGACTTTTACTATGTTAATATTATTTATTGCAATTATTTACATATAAAAATAGTGACATAGAAAAGTACAAATTTTAAATGAAATATATATTGAAATTTTGCCTTGATATACATAATGTCTTGAATTTGATGATTCACAAAAAAATTTTAATATAAATATATTAAAAATTCATGCAGAAATGTGATTCACTTTATTTTTATATATAAATAACTGTAATAAATAATAAAAGTCCAAAATTTTTATATGAAATATATACTGAAATTTTGCGTTGATACACATTTTGGCTTGAATTTGATGATTCACAAAAAAAATTTGACACAAAAATATTAAAAATTCATGCAGAAATGTGATTCATTTTATTTTTATATATAAATGACTATAATAAATGATATCTTCATAGTAAAAGTCCAAAATTTTTATATTAAATATATGCTGAAATTTTGCGTTGATACACATTTTATCTTGAATTTGATGATTCACAAAAAAATTTGACATGAAAATATTAAAAATTCGTGTAAAAATGTGATTCACTTTTGTTATACGAAAAATCATATATCAAACCTCGCAAATCGGAATTTGTCAGTAATTTTGAAAACGGCAATAATATTATTGTACCTATTGGATTTTTTCATTGTTTTTTAATTTAATTTGTTAAATTTATTAATTTAGGATTTAAGTGAGAATGATCATTACCTTCAGGTTATTTCAGACATAAGCACATAATGGAACTCAACTTTCCTTGTGTGGAAGTGCCAAAGCGACTAGAAAAAATCCATGATTATATTGATATAATGACAATAACTATGTCTAGAGATTCAGATCCTATGACATGAAAAGATGGTCAAAGACTTAGTAAAATTAATCTTAGTAATGTTGAATAGACTGCAATCAAACAATTGATGGATATACTAGAGCCTTTTGCATCAGCAACTAAACTTCTTGAGGGAAGTAAATATGCAACAATAATTTTATGAATGATGTAATTACAGCAATTAAGAATGGAGTTCAAAGTACTTAAAATGCAGAGCCTAATATTGATTTCACTTATCCTACTACAGTCTTTGATGATGTTGGTATTGAGGACTCTGATGATGATGAAGTTGATGATCATCCAAAATGGCAAAAAATTTCAACAAACATTTCACGAGACTGTAAAGATTTAACTGAGAAGGTTAAACTGGCTTTATATACAGCAATAAATAAACCATTATTGGATTGTATCTCAAAATGAAAGGATAATAGCCACACTCTTAGACCCTAGATGAAATCTCTTAATTTTGCAAATGAATCACAAAAAAACCAAACAAAAGCTCTTTGTTCATAGTTAATCTTGTGATTTTACCTTTATTTTTGCATTATTCAGCTGGAATTGATGTACCAATGGGCTTTGATATAGATAGTGAAATTTGTTGATCATTGAGATCACCTTTCTGATTTGACTGAGATGTGGTGAAATTCAGATCTTCATCTCCATCTGCGTTCATGGATTCATCGATCAGTAGATTGATGTTTGTATCTTTAGACATATACGCCTGTGATTGGATAGTTACTTTCCCTTTTTCTGCAGCTGTGGCTGCTGTACCTTAGACCACTTTGGAAGAGCATTCTGGTATCTAGAGCTCAATGAGTTCAACTGTTGGTAAGCTTTAAAACGGGCTCTTAATATTATGCCATACATAACCATACTAGAAAGAGGACCTGTTGGATAAGTATCAGCATAATTATGTATGAGGGTTAACAATGTTTCCTCCTATACAAGAGTCTTTGTAACCAGCGTTGTATATTCATGTTCTGTAGAGTGTTTATCCACTTGTAATAAGAAGTGTCTCAGTAACATTAGTACATTTCTTTTTTATATATTAAAAAAATTCACCCTCACTTCCCGCTAAGTTGCTACTTGCTAATCTACTTGCACTCTAAAGAGTCTGGCAACCTAAAGAAAAAAAAGAAAATAGAAGAAATGTTAGTATGTTTCTTCTATGTATTAAAAAAATTCACCAGCTAACCTACTTGCACATTCCAAGTACAGGAGCCACACCCAGAAGTAGTGAAGTTATCTACAAACTCTTGAATGGGTATGTATGAACTTAGTGTCTTAGACTTAGACTTATTCTTATTGTTACCCATTTTCTCTTTATTTTATATTTCCGCAGTATTTTTTGGAAAAAATTTTAGAGGAGAAAGGGTTTTTACAGACACACGTACAGTATGATATTTGGTTAATATAGTATAAACAATTTAGTTATTGATTGTTAAATTATACGTAGCCCTGGTCTACCCGCCGCATATGGTAATCCTGGGCAAACGGTTTTCATGAAATTTCTCAATCCGACTGATTTTGAGCCCAAACTCTAGATAATAAGATGAGTGAATCAAGAGCATTAGTATAATATTATAATTAAAGTGACGTAATTTTGTTACTATTGAAATTTGTTTTACACGTTCTCTTTTTTTAATCTGCATTTATCTTAGAAAAATTATGCGATGGTTTTCAAAATAAAAGCATTAAAATATTATTTAAAAATTCTTCAGTGTTTTACATAATAAAAAGAGCAAAGATGAACTAAAGAAGCGTTTATCTAGAATAATTTTAACAATTTATTTTATTTATTGTTTTTTGATTACAAAAATACGTATATAAAAAAAAATTTTAATGTTAAAAATAATAAATGAACATGTTTCTTCAAAATTTGAGCTATACAGTCTAATAAATGTTATGCAAAATATATCTTTTACTATCTGCTATTATAATAAACTAATAAATCTGTAAGCAAACGGAGTGAAAAACATCAAAGAATCAAAAGAAATTATATATTATATATATCTTATTGTACACCCTGGTTTACGATAAGGGTAAGGATGCCCATGATATTTAGGCAATATAAGTGGTTGGTAAATTATATAATTCCACATATGGTAATCCTGGGAAAAAATTATGGACGGTTTCATGAAAATCCTGACTTAACTCAACCGAGCAATGCCCGAGCAATGCCCGAGCTCTGAAACTCTGTAATCAAGACAGCGTTTAACAATGTGGTTTATGCCATTTTAAGATAACAAACAAGAACCTTTTTATGGATAAAGTATTGCCACGCCACATGTAATGAAATTTTTGGCATTATTTTCTATACAATTGATTGTAATTACGCGTACGTAAATAAATTTATTCATACATAATAAAATACATGATATTTTTAGTAATCGAATAAAACGTAATTTTCGGGATACTTTCTTACTATAAGATAATGAGTTTTATAGGTCAGTCGAAATAGTAATTTATCAGCCAAAAAAGGAAGATGAAAAATTATAAATATATAATTATAATATGATAAAACAAAACTCCGACAATTATCAAAACAAAATCCGACAATTATCACTTTTTTAGTTTTTTAGTTATGGGTCTGTCGGCACAACGCGACCTAGTCAGACAAGCATTCAAAAAGAAAGATATATAGTATGTATAGTAGAGCGAAAACATATAAAACGGTGAAAAAAATTTATGGGATAACGATATCAAAAAATCATTTTTTTAAAAAAAAAAAAAAAAAAATAACGAAATATGAATAATTTCACAAATCAAATAGATTATAATAACTTATGTTCATTTCTTAATATAAATGAACAAGTACAAAAACTTGCAAATAAAGTAAGGGATGGAACAATTTCGCAAATGTTAACCAAGAAAGAATTGCTTAAGCAAAGCTTAGAAAATAAATTGCGATCAGATAATCAACGGGACATAATTGATCTTGATTCGACTACGAATGAAATTTGGAACTCAAAATTAACGATTTCACAAAAAAAGCTGCTTACGAGATTTGCGGATAATGTGAACAAAACTCGAAATTCTAATACCATCGAATTAATCGCTCGAATTAATACGCCACAAATTACAAATTCTGAATTTGAAAATCTCTTTTTTAATGGAACAAGCTTTCATGATGACAAAAGTCTCGAATCTTCGATCTTGCCTTTAGGTGTGGTTTATAGAGGGTCTTTTGATTCTTTTCAATAAAAATTCAACTTACGCGTTACGTGATTTATCTTACAAATATCTTAAGTTTATATTAAGGGTTATAAGTATTTTTTAAGATTAATCTAATATTTATTTCATTCTTTTTTATTATAACATATAATATATAAATAAATTATTTTAAATTAATTATCATCGTATTTTTATCCAAAAAATTATGTATTACAAAAAAAAATTGTACCATTATATAATCATGACGAATAAAACTTTATTTAAATAGAAAATTTCTAGAAATCTTTTTTTAGTCGAGATAAACTACATATTGTGGGTTAAATATAAATAAATATATCAATGCAATTTAAGCTTTCGGTTAACTTGATATGTCAAACAAAAAAAAATTTTTTTGTGTCAATAAAATAATTATTAATAAGATGATCGTAAAAGCTTTGTGGCGCTTTTACACACGAATTTTAAAAATATTGTATGTAAAGAACAATAGCGACCATTAGCCTTTAATAATTAATTAATATAACATTGAATTATAATTAGTTACATAGTTACACACAAGCTGTGTTATGTTACATGTTTACGAAGTTTTCGACGATTCAAATTAATTTGAATGAGAACATATTTGATTCTTACAATGATTTATTTTTAGAAAAATAAATAAATAAATTGGGTTGGAAATAAATGAATTTAAAAAAGATAAGTTTAAATATCTGCATATGAGAGATACTAGCCGTTCGGTCGACTTATAAACGAATAATAAAATTTCAAAAACTTATTTTTACACTTGTGATTGAAATCACATTACCAATTATTTTTTTTTTTCTTTTCTCTGATCCGGCTGATGATGAGAATTTAACTGGTTAATTTTATATTTTTATAGAATTTTTATAAAACCGCTAATAAATTATTATAAAAGAGGTTCCTGATAATTTGTGATGATTTCATTTGACATGAAAATTATCTATTTTAAACTTAAAAATTTTTTATGCCCGTTCGCAAAGCCCAACCTAACTAATTTAATATGTTAAAAAGCAAATCATTACACAAAACTTTCCTTCTTTAATTTATTAGGGACCTTAATTCCATTGATGAAAGCCAAATTAATCACGAAAAATCTTACCGTATTAGGAGCAAACAAATGACATTAAATTTGATAACGTGATCAACATATCAATAATTCTGGCTAAAACTAGTAATTATAATCACGTGATTACGATCTTAAACTATCCCATTCCGCATATCTCTTTACACCAACATTTCAGAGTAATTCAAAAGGGTTGAAAAGCCAGTAAAAATAGTTTTATTGTATTAGTTATTGAGTTTTCATGTTCACTTAATAAGTTTTTGTTTGTGTGCTTTGGTAATTATCTCACAAATGTAATAAGAACTCAATTACCGCCATTTTTTTTGTTGCGCAAGACTAAAGGGCGTTAACAAACACAAAGGTTGTCAAATACATATATTTAGCTGGGTACAATTTGCAGTCAAGTAGTTCATTTTTTCGTGTGACAATTTTCTCTTTTTCGTCCCATACTATATATGAAGAAATTATTAATATTTGAACAGAAGATGGCTAGTATTTGACCTGAACACATAATATAAACAATCATGAGCAAGAATCCAAAAATTCTTAGTAAAAATATATTAATGATTTTGGTTAAAATTATTAATTTTAATCGTAAATATTGTACAAACAAAATTATTCTAATTACATTCCTGCATTATCTCTTGATCCCATTTATTTATTTATATATTTTCTACGTATTAATAAATTCCTAAGATGGTAATGATAATAAAATTAATGGATAACAGATAATACCAACGATATACAGCATTATCTGTTATTGTTTATTACTAAGCTTGATTATGTAGCACAGTTAATAATAATGATCAATATAATTTTTAGGTTATCAGCAGATGCAAATAATCATGCACGTCTTTTATTATAATATAATGGCAACGGAAAATTTGTTACTTAATAAGGCTGATTAGTATTAACATAATTCCGAATCTGAATAAATGCGTACAATTATAGTGAATTATTTTTTTTGTTTCAGATCTTACATTTTGAGATCCACTGCTGTTATTATTACAGATTGCTAAAATTTTAAATAAGTTTTACATTTGTGACGTTTCAAATAAGTACCATATAAAAGGAATTTTAATTATAAACACAAAAATGTAAAACTAATTGAGAAGTTTATGATTTTAAGGTTGGTTTGACAGAATCAAGTGGACGTTTATGTGAACGTCTGATATATGAAAGTGTTACCACCAATTTATGACGTTTGGTAGGTAGTAACAGAAAGAAGAATAAGGATCGGTATGTGAGTGGTAAGGTAATATGGCGATATATAACAATCGGTAAGGTAAAAGTGTATGTATGAATAGTCGATAATGAACGATTATAAACGATAACAATCATTGGTCATGTCACGGATCGGCATAGGGACTTTTTATTATAAAATGATCAACATATTTTGTGTAACAGTAAATTCCAGTAAATTTTTGCCCCGTACGAAATATTTTACATAACAATATACTTTGAAATTTTAAACATATCTTTACAATATCTTGAAATTATCCCACATTAATTTTTATTAAAATTAAACTATTATTGAATTACTTTTATTAATAACAACTTTTAAAGTCTTCTATCTAATAAAAAAAATTATTAAATTAAAAAAAATATATAATAGTTATTGATTATAAGATGTAATTTGCACCAAATATTCTTTTTATGCTATTAAAATAGAACTTATTTATGTAATTTTGATAAGTTTAATATAAGCTAATTGGATAAAAAAGTAAAAAACTTGAATTTTCTATAAAAATTAATAATTAACTTGCCTTTTATGCAATATGTTTTTTGATTCTACATAAAAAAATACATATATCCGCATTATTAAAACGATGTTTAGTTTTCATACAAACTTGCATCTCTGGGTTAAAGTCAAAAAAATAGGAGAAGTTAACCTAATGTAAGTTTTTTATACAAGTATTGTACGGTCAAAATAAACGTTAAAATAAGCAGAAAAAAGCCTAAAGAACAAAAGTTTTCTAAGGTCTGTATAAAGGTTGTTTGAGAGAAAACCATGTTACATTAGAAGCGTTTGTGCAGATCATTTTTTATTGCACAAATTTTAATTAGTAATCAACACTTCTCGTGACATGACCGAGGATTGATAATAAATGATGCGATAAATTAAGGTGGATCAAGTGGTGTGTGTATATAACAATTAATTAGCAAATATGTATAGTAAATTAACGATGTATAACGAAAGTTAATAAATGATAATAAAACGATAATAAACAATGTAATAAAATATGTATCAATAATTCAGAAGCAAATCGACAAGTTTATTCATTAATAAAAAGAATACAATATTACTGCCTCAACCGGCGCTCTGTAATATCCCGATATCTATCTTATAACAATAAAACTATACGAATTCAAACTGAACTATCTATCTTTCAACACCGGTCCTTTATATAACATTAAATTTTTAGGACGATTCTGTCCTTCGGACATAATCGTCTCCCGGCCAATATTGTTTCCCGGCCAATTGTGGCGATCTGGGCACATTTGTCTATACAGCCACTTGTATTCAGCCACTTTATATCGCTAAGCTTCCGCTTTTTATCTAATCTATAAACAACCAAAAACAACTACAAGTAATATAACTAAAAATAACTAAAAATAACAAAAAAATAAAAATAGAAATAAATAAAAATAAAAACAATAAAAATAAAAAAAATAGAAATAAAAAAATATCCCGTGACAAAAGTAATGAATGATCGGCAAATGATCGGCAAAATTGAAGTGATAAAATGATGATGTCCTAGTCATGCTTTTCGGGAAATTCCGTTAAAACTCCGGAAATTAATTTTTTTACAGCTGTTTTCATAAGACCTGGGACAAATTAAATTTTGAACCTGACCGCCGACCCACCGATCCGGTTCAGATGTTATTTATTTTACAAATCAAACTATCAAATCAGGATCACGTGCCCAGCTAAAAATACCGGATCGGCGGATCGGGTTCAAAAATTTAGTTTGTCCCAGGTCTTATGAAAACAGCTGTAAATGTGACCAAATTGAAAATTTTCCGACCGAATTTTATCGGAAAATCCGGACTGTAAATATTATATAAATATGTTCGAAATTTACAAATAAAGGTGTTTAAATAATTAGAATTTATATTACAGTAATTAAAAAATTTGATATAAATAGGTCTGTTCAACAATACTCTGTTCCCGTACGTAACACGATCGGCTGTTGTAAATAGAACATTAACATTGTGTAACAAATAATAATAAATATTTGAGTGGGAAGTTATCGCTCCTAAAAAATAATATATACATATAATATGTCTTCTATTAGAAATGAATTAGTTAGTGATGCAATTAATAAAGCATATTTATTAATGGATTATGATAAAAAATATGAATCTGTAAAACAAACCATTCTTAATGACGAATCACTTACACATGATAAAAAATTAGAAGCGATAAATATAATAAGTAAGAATTTTAATGGATTTAAAATTCTTGATGATGAAGGAACAAAAATAAAGTGTGAAAATAGTCAAGAAGAATGTTTAGCTAAATTATACTGTGAGCATTGTGCCCGAAATTATTTAAAAACCCATTTTTCAAAATGGACATCTTGAAATGAAAAAATTGATAACTTGATTCAAAAATGTCAAACGGAAACAATTTCACCGGATAATATAATAGGATGGATATCATATAATAAATTAAAAAGTATTAAATATTTGACTAAAGGTGGATAATATTGCCGGTACGATTCCTCACGATCCATCATAAAAAAGGTTTTAACTTATAAAAAGCTAATTTCGACTTAAAAAGTAGTTTAGGGAATTTACAGAAAAATTTTTGATATTTTTCGTTGGCGTTGCCTTTTGAAAGAATAAGTGAAAGAATTGTAATAAATTAAATTATTATAATTGAATAAATAAAGATAATTTATGAATGAAATGTGGTGTGTTTGCATTATGTTCATTCACTGTATCATTGCATATATCGCTATCATTCAATAAAAAAACTTTAGTTATTTAACCAGAGAATCGTACTGCGATATAAATTCTTGTAATCAAAATTTCAAAAAATGTATAGTTCTCGTTAAAGGTTTTATAAGATAATAATATTTATTAAATAATGTTAAAAGATACAATGGTTTAGTTATACTATATATTTATACCGCGACAGTAGTAACTTTACTATCCATTAAATACAAATAAATAAATAAATAAAGGATAAAGAATATTATGAAACATGAAATCCTATTCATTGAATATTACGAATTTATTGTTGAGAACGATTCAAATAAGTAAGAACTTGCTGAAGCTGATTTTGAATATCCGAATTAGTTGTAGGCATAATAATAATAGTCGCCTGAGGAGAACTAATATTAATACCAAACGAATTAAGTAGAGGAATGATATTAGATTGAGATGAATCGCTAGGTTGATTTTGTTGCGGAGGTAAAACGTTATTGGACGTGGATTGCTGCTGATTGTTATTATGAGGAATATTGTTTGAAGCGTGATGATTATTATCAGTAGAAATAGTAACGTTATTGTTTGACATGGGTTGTTGATTATTGTGGTGGCGATTGTGATCAGGAGTAATAGTAACAGTGTTGTTGGGAATGCCGGGTTGATGAATATATTGATATTGTTGCTGATGATTATGATTAGGTGAAGCGACATTGGATTGCTGATATTGTTGATGAGAAACGGTGTTGTCCGACATGGATTGTTGATCAAAAATCGCATTATTAACATTATTACTATATGTATATGTATCGTATGTATCGTATGCTTGCGTAGTTGTTGTTTGCAAATTAGATTCGTGGACATTGTTACTAAAATTATTTGGTGATGAATTATTAGTATTCATAGTTTTCTTTCGACTATCGGGTTATATTGATATAAAATAAATGAGGTATCAAATTTTCAGAACGAATTAGTTTTTAAATATATATACAGTAGTATGATATACAGTATGTATACTCAGGTAAAAATATGCTATTAAATTAAAATTTCCTTTTAACCTATTCAAAAAATCCTGGAAATATTATCGCATTTCTAAATAAATATATATAGATAGAAAAATAGAGTTCTTAATTTCGAAATTTAGATATAAGTTATGATCGATAAATCCGATAAAATATAAGTTCTTGATTTTATCGATATTCGATAAGTCCGATAAATATGTGATAAATACGGGAATAAGAATTTTTTCATGAAAAATTTTTTTTTTTTTTTGATTTTTCAATCTCTTTAGCATCCTTGTTATTTTGTTATTATATATATATTTTTTTTCTGCATTTAAGGTGATACACAGTACATGTGATATGGTTCCGGATAAATCCTTTTGTTTTTGTTTGTTTTAGGAGTCTAGATTTACCCCAGTATCACCGACACTTTTATAATTAGAATTCCACCCCCACGTGACCGACCGGTGACATTTAAAGGGATGTGAAAATAATAATTTTGCGAGGCAAAAAAAACTAAGTCCCTCAGATAAATATAAACAGTGAAAACGCGGTGGGGTGTGATGGCAGTGATGAATATTACAAAATCACGTGGGGGTGGAAAAAGTGTCGGTGATACTGGGTAAGATTAGAGTCTAGATCATTCTAACGTGATTTCAACCTAACTTTTTTTAGGTATACTAGTTGATGATCTGATTCTCATAGTTTCCTTGACATGTAATATTTTATATAAAAAAAAAATTTTCGGGTTATAGATAAAGGCGTTATCATAATGTTTAAATGAAAAAACAAGGAATTTAACTTGTTGATCATAGTAGTCAGTGGATTTATATTTGGTATGAAAATTTTTTCCGGGAGTATTTTTAGAGCTTCCTGTGGTACTTTTATGTCATATTAATTTAACCATCAAATTGTAGGTTTTTGGTAGAATTTAATTTTATTATTGATCATTTTCAATCGAAATTCAATTATAACAAAAAAAAAAATTTTTTTTTTTTTTTTGGTATAAAAAACCTTTTTTTTTTATTAAAGTTTGATTTTTTAAATTTAATTAATATTATAGAATTCATATTTAAGTGCCGTATTATGTTTTGCGCAACGTAAATTTATTACTTGGTAATCAAGATTCTGAAGTGGCGTACTTGCCGCTTCCCCACGAATATTATATTGCTTTAAATTGTAGCGTTTGTTGAAATCATCAACTTATCCATTTGATCCCTTAAATTTATCTTTACACAAGTAGGGTTAAAGCTTCTTCAATAATAGGAAAAGGTATCTTTCTTTCACGCCTTAAACGAGTCACTATCCACAGAAAGCTAATAATCTTTTGCTTTAAAATGTCACTTCTTTCGCTAACACTACTATATTCATTAGCTAAGTCTTTTTGTTTTAAAAAAAAGTGTTGCTATTTTTTTTTAAACAAATTTCTTTTTTTTTTGCACAGCAGTAAGAAACTTTCTTTTTTGGGGGACTTCATCTTTGACTTTTTAGGGTCTTCAACTTCATCAAGTTTTTTTGGGGGTTTATTTTTTGCATTGATATATGTAATATAAAACAGAAGAACGAAACATGAAATATGAACATATCCATTATTAATTTTATTACAGTATAATAAAAATAAATAATATATGAAAATTTTCATGTAAAATGAATGTCAGATTATCTCTTATGGTAAAATTTCATTTCGATTGGAAATATGCGGGATTTTAAATTTTTAATACTTGATATTTTTATATTCCCCATAAAATGGATGAAAGAAAAGATTTAAATCATAATTATAACAAAAACTGATAAATTTTATTAGATTTTATTATTAAAATATTAAGTTTTTTACCTTATATTTACTGTATGTTAAGCGAACAAAAAATTAAGATAATTAAAACATTTTAGCGATCTAATATATCAGATTTGAATAGAAATCCATAATATTATTTATTAGGCTATTTAAAATGTGAAAAGTGGTCGACATTTTTAAAGAAAATAGTATTAAATAAAGAGAAGTAGAAAAAAAAAGTTCGTAGGGTTAACTAAACAAAATATCAAAATAAATAAAGAAATAAAAAAAGTTTATCCAAGTTTGTATATAAAATGAATTTACATTTCTAAAAAAAACAAATATGATTTTAGATGAAAAAGACTTTGAAATAAAATTTGTCCCCCAGTTTGGCTGGCATATAAAACATTTATTCCATGTTTTTTTTCGTATCATATTCACGGATAAAATTTTTACAGAGTTGGTCAAAAACCTTAAAATATGCCACGATATGAGAAATTCTTTTTCTCGCGAAAATAATGAAATTATTCATTATTTATTTTATTATTATAATAAACTTTTAAGTGTTTCAAAATAAATTTCATGTAAAAAATCACTTTGTATTTTCAGCTTAATTTGTAAAATATAGAAATTTTACGTTTTTTATCGTTCTTTTTTTTTAACAAATCACAATATTAATAACTTTATTAATACAATTTATTTGAATACACCATCTCATAATACGATTAATTGTTCGATCAAGATCTTTGTCAATTTAATCCTAGTTTGATTATCAGTTGTAATAATTTTAAAATTTTCATTATTCAAATAAATCATTGCTTTTTGGTGATATTGAACTAATTTTATAACTTGAACTCCTCTTATCTTCTTCAAATTCATCTATTCTATATCCATACTAATAAAATTAATGAAAATTATTAATATACTTCGTTATTAAAAATAGATTATTTTGTTTAAAACTTACTATTTGTTCAGTTAATTCATTAATAAGTTTTGAGACATTGAATTCCCCACAAACATATCTTTGTTGATTTAATTGATTTCCGCTAAAGTTAACGATGTTTTTGTATTATGAATATTAAGTGTTCCATTCAATGATGCTATTAGCGAATCTTTTCCAAGATTAGTAACCAATTCAATATTTGAGGCAAGCTTAAATAATAATAAAACAACTTTGATGTTTAATAATTATTTACATGTTTTGTTTGAATTCTCTAATAAACTTACATTTTCTGTCATAACAGTCCTAACAAATTGCGAATTAATAAAAATATTAACGATATCTAAACACTCATCAATGAGTTCGGTAAATTCGGCTTTATATTGCCCGATTCTAAACATGCTGAGGTGGTTTCCTTTCTCTCAACATATTTGTTATCTCATTGACTGTTAATCGAATGTCAATTGGAAGATTTATAGGTTTTATTTGTAAACCTTCATCACCTCCTCACAATCATACTCGGATTCTTTTTTAAATTTCTCATTAATTAGTCACGCTAAAAAGTAATATAATAATAATTATTACACTGTAAATATTATTGAATTGTTTGAATTATTTCCCCCCACTTTCTAATGAAATTAATGGCCGTAATGACGGATATCCAGCGAAGACAAAACATGGTTCTTGATATTTTTCCTGTAATGAACTATCAGCCCTAGATGCATAATATAATAACGATTGCTCAATCATGTCTTGATGATGCATCGGATTATCTGGTCAAGTACATTTTTTGCTGTCTCTCGGTACACATCCTAATGACATAAAGATAGTATTAACAAATATCTGGTTCTTGTTTCATTATTAATAACAATTATTTAACGTACCATTCCCCACATATATTAGAATATTTGAGGGATTCCTCAGCCATAGGATATACTGCATAGAAGGGAATACCACGTAATCCTACGGCACTTAAGTGTTGACTTAAAAAAACCTATTATATCAAAAATAATTCCATTCATCGTACAAGGGAATAAAACATTTCCTTTATTTTTTAAAGTGTTGGCTAATAAATATAATTAATTAGTTATAATATTTAAATTAAATTATGCTAAGCTTAAATTATATTTTATTCGTATCAACACAATACACAATTTCCAATTTCAATAAGAATAGTTTCAAATCTAGCTCCACCCTTATCACGCAAGTCGTTAAGAATGATAACATCAGCATTATTGAATACCGTCTCATTAAAGGCAAAGGATGTATGATGATGACACTATACTAATCTATTAAAAAAGATTCAATTTTTTTATAATAAGTAAAAAATTAATTAAGTAACATATCCATAACTTTAAATGTTAAGTTACCTTTTCACCTCCACAATCAATCATCCAATTAGCACTACCAAGACAATAACCTGAACTAAACGCTTCAAATTCATATAAATTCTACTGAATACGTTAGAAGTTATATAACGAACAATTACTGAAAAAATATGTATTAGCGAAACTCACCAGATGTTCTTCAAATATTACAGAGTCAGTGACGGCGGTAAAAATAATAGTAGATCCAGGTTGTGAATGAGTTCGAGTTTTAAGTACACTATCACCAAAGAAATGCACCAATTCCTTCATCGTCTGTTTATATAAAAAAAAATACGATTAATAAATAAAAATAGCTTCAATTATTAAATATTTGAAAGTTATTTTACCTTCCAAATAAAATTGTAGGTGTATATTCGATAATATAAGGTAAAACCAACATATGACGAACCCACCACCTGCAACTCCACTACCATTACCAGTCAATTAAATGATCCAATTTACGATGTTTCCTGTCATGTTCTTTATTTTCTGATATAGCATCGACGTATGATCTGAATGATCTGATATATTGGAAGAAACCTCAACAGAAACTGATACATGTTGTTCGTGCTTTTGATCCTATAATATCACAAGAAGCTAATCCACAATCTATTAAGAAATTCATTTGCATTAATTTGATTACGACTTTAAAGGATGCTATTTTAAAAAATTGTAATAATAATCATTTTAATTAATTTAATTCGCCGATATAGAAATAAGTAGTAATTACCAATTTCATTTTGGTACAATTTATAATAGACAAAAATATTTTTTTTTTTTTTTTTGTGATATGATATATAAAACACGAAGATTTTTTTGGGGACAAACGTGGATTTTATATTATTTTTAACGTATGACAATGCAGGTGTAAGTGTGTAACAGCACACCACAGTGCAATCAAAAAAAGCCCGGGCACGTGATTATAGTAAAATACCCATTGTTTCAATTTTTTTCACGCTCTATTAAGGAAAAAAGTAAAGAGTTTGTTGATTTGTTTAATGATACTTAAGATAATTGAAAAAAATTTTGGTAGTAATAAGCGGGGAAGTAATGAAAAATAATTACAGTTATAAATTTTAGAATTATACTATAATAGAAATTTTTAAAATTATCGAATTTATTTGTAAAAGTTGTGCGACCTATTTATTGTCTTGCTGATCATAAACTGAAATTTATCCCCAGGTTATTTGGGAGTTAAGGTCGGGTCAGGGGTTGAGTTACATAAATGTAAATCCGAATATTTATCGAGTTTGGTTTTTATCCGACCCAGTTAGACCTTTTCGGAACACTACTAACCATCTAAGCGTATAAACGAAAATTGGGACTTATCAAATTTGAATGCATCGTTATATTTTAAATTTGAATTTTGCTAACTTGCCCCCTGGGTTAAATTATCTGGGTTAAATCCTCCCCCTAAATTTATATTTTACATCAACCATTTTTTTTTTTTTTTAAAAAAAATTGTTTGTGTTAATATTATTCATTTCACATTATATAGATTTTATTTATTTGGACATTATAGAATATAGAGTATAATGACCAAGTTTTCTTACATTTTGACAATGTTTCTTGTTTTTGATTGTGACCATAATTTGCATTTCTTTTTTGAAAATTTGGGCAAAATTATATAATTATATAAAATTTACTAGTAGGTTAAATCACCCAGGTTAAATCACCCTGAGTTAAAATTAGTCTTATACTTTAAATTTTATCCTTTCTTCATTTCAATTTACTTGAATTCTATAATTTAAAATTATACATTAGATGAATTAAACTCGCATACCTTTCGATTTATTTGTTAGGCTTTTGGTCCGAACCAGGACGGCTATTATTTGATATTGACAATGACCGACTTCATGTTTGATACCGGAGTAAATTACCCATATATGGTTGTCTAAAGTGGAGTAGCATTACGGCTAAGAAATTAAAAAATGACAAATATTTATTATGATCACGTGATACTACTCCGCGGAAACATCGGAAAGGATCGTCATATACGTGATAATATACATTTTATCACAATTCATTATATACGCGTAATCACAATAAAATAAAGTCTAGTAATTGCCTAATTGGTACCCAAATATTGGTAACTTTTTTTATACAGCAGCATCACCAAAATGATTTAATAAGCTATTTTGGTAAACAAAAGTATATTCGGGGGTTTAACCTGATAACCGAATTAGTAAGTCTAACTAGTAGATATAATGACAATGAACTGAAACTCTTCATATCATAATAAAATGTTTCATATTAAAGTTTTAATTATCGGAATTGGAGACTTATTATATCATATATTATTCAGCCAAGTAATACTATCTACTTCAATGGCTTTTACCGTATATGCATGAATCGTTGACATATGTTAGCGTTATAATCATATCAGATATACTTTTCTTACTTTTATGTAAATTTTATATATCAGAAATGGCTAAAAAGAACGGTATGCAGTACACGTCATAATTATAGGACGAAACGCTTATAAATAGTACAGAGTGAAGGCAAAAAAACGCGATAATAATATCATAAATTCCAAAAAAAAAAAAAAAAAAAAAAATATGGACAGATTTTTAAATCACATGGATTACAACGACATATTTTCATTTCTTAATATAAATGAACAAGTGCATAAGCTAGCAAGGGATGGTACAATTTCTCAAATGTTAGCTGGTAAAGAATTGCTTAAGATTTGTTTAAATTGCAAATTGCAATCAGATAATCAACGTGATATAATTGATATTGATTCGGCAACGAATGAAATTTGGAACTCACGTTTAACGATCTCACAAAAAAAGCAGTTTAAGAATCTTGCAGATAATTTAAACAAGGCTCGAAATGCCAAGAATATCGAATTAATCATTCTGATTAATACACCACAAATTACAACAACAGCTTTTGAGAGTTCTTTTTTTAACGGAGCGAGCTTTCATGATGACAAAAGTCTTGAACCTTTTCTACCTTTAGGTGTGGCTTATGGTGGGTCCTTTTGGTAAAATTTCACCTCCCGTTACAGTGATATTTATCTTTTCTAATTTCTTTAAAGAAAGTCCTCATTTTCGTAAAAAAATATACATTTCATTAAATAATTTTTACACTTAAGCTTATGTTAAGAATTGAGTTTTTTTTTAAGATTTAAATTCATTCTTTTTTATTATAATATATATATGGATAAATTTACAAAATTCGACAATCTTACAAATTTTATTCACAAAATTTCTCTATCTTATAAATTTGTATTTGTATTTTCTTAGATTTCAAATATTTTTGTTACATGAAGCTTAGTAAATTTAGAGAAATTGTTCTACCAATAATATTAGCCTATTTTTTTTAAATAAATAAGTTTCATATAAATATTAACTAAATTATCATTATTTACAATTTATTAATATTTCCTATAATTTCTAATTATGTAACCTTTTTTTAGTTGGGATAAACACATTGTAACTTACTTAAATGATATCATTAATAATATTAAGCATTTTTTTTCACACTTAAACAACATAAATTGAAGCTAAACCTTCGCTTCGAAAATAATTATTTTTATATTCTTAATTATTTTACAAGTTATTCTAAAATAATTACAGAAGATACAAATTACAGAATTACTAAATTCTGTGACCTTTAAAAATTCGATCATTTTGCTTGTATGAAAGGGCAATCATTTCCATTTTGAGTTTTTCGCCCGTACAACGCCGCGGTGTAATTTTGAATTTATGATATATTTGATTTTTTAATAAAAATGTTCATTGTCCAAGCCAAAAATGGAGATAAAAATATGCGATATTTTATTACAATTTATAATTTAATTAATATAATGATAAAAGATTGATATACATTTGGAATATCTACAATGAATCTTTAAGACTACATTTTGTTTTAATAAATTTTTTGATCAAAGTTTTTTTGAATTTGTGTAATTTATAATCGCGTGAAATTTAAAAAAAAAAAATTTGGAGTCAATAAATTAATTAAGTAGGAAAATAGATCGATTTGGTTTGATTTTTTTTCTAATTAATTTTTTAATAACGGTTTGTCGAAAAATTTTTTGGTGTTTTTATATAAATTTTTAAAGATAGATTAGATATAATCAACTATTTTTTTTAATAAAAATATTGAATTAACGACAGGACCCAAGCAGTTTATACCATTAATAGGTAACAAGAGGTCGGCACTCATTTACCCATTAGCTCTACGAGTCTCTTCAGGGCCAGAATCACATAATGCCGTCTGGCATTGTCAAAAAAAGGAAGGATCTACCCGTAATTTTTGGCTCTGGTTCATTCTACGCAAACTCTTGCTCAGGTCCTTTAACCACCATTACTATTAAATTTACGTTACATCAATTATTAATTTATACAACAAGTGTTTCTATCAGGTTCATAATTTGCTGTTCGCCACTCGCCGATAGAACTTTTATGGTTGTCTTGATCAACAAATTTAGATAATGATGAAAGCTAAGTTGAATCGCACAAAGCCCCTTTAAATGATCTACATTCAAAGTAATTTAAACTAAAAAATTTCCAATTTCATGTGTGACAATTGTGATATGATAACACAAATCACTGGAATTACATTTTAACCTTTATAATCGTGTATTTGAAAAAATAATAATTATTTCACAAAATTTCTTATGAATAATGATTTTTATTTTGACAATGATAATCATTTGACAATGATTTATTATACTAAATTATACATTTATACATTTTATATAGACAATAGATAATCAAGTATGAGATGATCAATTATCTGAAAATGTTCTATCGTTCGTTTCCCGTCTCTTAATTTACTTCCTTGTTTTCCTAAATAATGAAGTTATTCATGTACAAATTTTAATTTAAATAAAATTATCTAATTAATATTTTTATAATCGCGAAAAGCTAAATGTAAATTTAAAATTTAATATCTAAAAAAAAAAAATATTATCGTGGCCTCACGATAAAAAAGATTTAATACATATCGTACATTCATTTATATAATTTTATGTTGTTTTAAAGATTTATTCATCTAAACCGTATTTATGCTGTATTTATGATAATAATAGTTGATTTTAGTATAGATTGGAACAAAAGTTAATAGAATTAGAACTGCATCGTCCGTAATTTTATCCAGAAATGTCGGCCGGCACTAAATCACGTGATACAGATCACTGACTATGTGCTGGCCGGAAATGCTTAATTTTGGGCTTTAATTGTACGTATGATGACTATGACGTCCATTGTATTACCCAAACTACGCAACAGTAATTGACATGTTACAAACAAGATTATTTTCCTGCAATATTTCATTGTTTTTAAAAAGAAATATAATTATCATAAAAAATTCATTGAATACGATTAAAAGAAATATTTGTGGACTTTCAGTAACCGGTGAGGAAACGATATCTTATTAATATAAAATGTCTCAGATCATTTTCGTTTATTATTTGAAAGTTCAAATAACAAATAAATCGAAATTTCGAATATAATGTTTAAAAAGAATAATATATTTAGCATTTATCATTATTTTATGACAGTAAAAATTCTATTTATATTTTATTTATTATTATTATTTTATTTTTATTTATTTATTTATTTTTTTTTGACAAACACAAAAAAATTGAAGGTAGATCATTTCATACAATTATCATGATTAGTTTGTTTTCATCATACCCGCTTCTGCAAAGTTATGTTTTAGAAGTACTTATTAGCGCCCATGCCTATTCATCCAAAGTCCCGAAGTGTAGACAAAAATAATGTAAATGAAATATAATTGTATCAGGATCGATGGTAGGACCGACTCACCCGAGCAATACATATATATATATAGGTAACAAGAAAGGACAAAATTTTTATAATAGTCCTACGTCGCAAGGTTTTTATTAAGATAAATAGGAAAACTCAACATATGACCTCGCAAATTGCCCAGAAAATAAGCAATTTATCCGTATGGCCTTTTAATAATTTTTTTTTTTTTTTTTTTTTTTTTACAAAAACAATTTAATCAATTTTCTTGCTTTTGCGATTTACAACATTTCATTTTTCAATATCTTCCTGCTAATTAAAATATCCATCATAATAATTCTTTTCATCCCTTATTAACTTTTACATATTACCATCAATTAAAATTTTGCTTCTAAATATGATAAACTATGTTAAATGTTTACATATTACAATTGCTTATTTTTTGGTATTATCTAATAATGCATTATATAACTTTTAAAAATTTTGCGAAAATAAGCAAATGAAAAATAAGACAGCAATTAATTTTACGCAAACCCAATCTCTAACTGTGGCTAAAACAACCAAAACAGCATGTGACTAAGCAAAATGATATTTTTGTTACCTATAAACCACCCTCCAAAAAATGGTAGCCGGATTCATTTTGCTGTGTTACGTATAATATTATGGATGTGAGCGACAATTAGAGTTTTTACATATTTTGTCCACAGAATAATTATAAAATTGAAGAACAGCTAGAATGTGGCACTACGTGACAAATTACTGACCTTAATCTCCTTACCTAATCCTAACACTAGTCCTAAAATGCTAAATCTGGCTACCATTTTTTGGAGGCGACGCTATGATCGTCGTTACCTATACATATATTGCTCAAGCCGGACCNTTTTAATAATTTTTTTTTTTTTTTTTTTTTTTTTTCAAGATATATATATTTTTTTTTTTTTTTTTTTTACAAAGTAAAAATTTATTATAAAAGAAAAAAGAAAAAAAAAATCAAATTAAACCAACCTACTCAATGACATTTGACCAAAATTTTTTAATTTTACGCCACTATAAAATTGCATAAAGTTACAAAAAATTTGATCATAAAATTTGTTAAAAAATATAATATACTTTATGCTTAGCAACTTATTTTAGATTTAATGTCTATTCATTAAGTCGCAGTAAAATCAGATCTCGTGGCCCATGGGTAGTTTATAAGCTATATGCCCAGAAACTATGTCGATCTTTTGGCAGGGGTGATTGTTCCTGTGATGTGCTTAATATTTAATCACAAAATGCATTAATCCTATATGAGCTAGTTCGATATGGCAAAAAAAAAATACCTTTGGTTGAAAGTTTATCATTTGAAAAATAACTCTCTCTTCTCATTTTTTTTCAACGTTTTTTTTACTTTTAAAATGCATAAAGTTATGTCTACAAATAAATAATGTGTTCGCTTCCTCATGATGACAAATGCGACGATCAAGCAAGAAATGGAACGAAAAAGATTCGTATTGGTTTCACAAATGTCCTGTTGGCACGTGATTATGTACAATGATAACTGCGCTTCGGACTTGATAACGGTTTCCGTTTCTTAGTACTTGGCTACGTTTAATCAAAGAAAATCTTGCAATCTTTACAAATAATATAAATATTATTATTCAAATACCCGAACAATAAATAACAAATAATCCTTTAGAAAATGATTTCCTTAACGGAACGAATAGTTCTGACTTCTGATAAAATAAAGGAAAATTTATTTCATTAAAGATAATTTCGTTATTTGTTTCATTTGTAATAGACTTTTACTTTGTTTATGCAATTTAGATTTTATTTTAAATTTTTTTATTTTCTTCACTATAGATTTTACTTTACTTTTTCTTTCTTTCTTTTGAACTTTTTTTTTAAGCCTCTGAGGTCTAACCGACATATGCACAATTCACATTTGTGTTATGTGAAGGTAAATTTTATTTTATTAACAAAGAATATTGATTTAACTGAATAAAAAATGCTAAAGATGCAGTCAAACGTATAGAAATGGGACGCTCTCTCCGGTTCTGCTTACAAAGAATGCATGATGTTGATCAATAAACCAGCGATTTGGGCGACGACCGTACATTCATGATATTTAAGATCAGTTTATACATTTTAAATTAAATAGCTAATCGCTTTGAACCACTACTCCACTAGTATAAACTTTTGGTTTAATAACCCGCTTGCATCGGTCCGATTCCAAACCACGGTTGACCGAGGACCCAGAAATATATATATAGGGGTCAGGTGACGAAAAA